CTGTATCGGACTCAATAAGTTTGTGGTTCAAAGGAAAGTGGACATGTTTCAGGAATTTGGTAGACTCACTGATCCGACCCATCACTGTGCTTTCATGCTCTGCTCTCATGCTGCCTTAAAAATGCAGGGAAAGAAACCCAGAAATTAATTATCAGAAAATGTAGAGATGCTTGTCCCAAAAATTAGTCTTTTATTTCCCAATATGTTTTTTTGGCAGTGATAGTCATACACCTACCAACCTTTCCCTTTCAAGACTTACTTTCTGGGTTCTTCGTATCCCTCCTTAAACCCATACTGCAATTGCAAATATAGATGACAGAGGTGGCAATAAAACAATTCTTATGATCACAGATCCTGGGGAGATTTATGGTGGGGAAATAAGGCAAGAGAGGGGAGGAAGAGATACCACAACTTTTGATTTACTTAATAAGTTTTTTCATACCACCAGTATTTAATATGATAATTCACCAGTGCAGCACAGCTGTTTTGTGTTGCACTGGCAATACAAAGCAGCAGTAAACCTAGTTAAACTAGTTATACACCTCAGCTTCTTTGGGCTACAGTGGTACAAAATAAATGGGCACTGATCTTCAGGCAATTCACAATGTTTTAATATTGTTCTGATACCATCCAAACTTTTAAAGATCACTGTAAAGTGATAAGGGTGTATCCTGGAGATGAGTGAGCCACTTGCTGATTGGTTATGAAAGTGCTGAGGGAAAAATCAGTGCCTTGTCACAGAAAGAATTTCCCCTGGGAATATTTTTTATTTTAGCAGTATAAGTGTTTAAAACTGACTCTGATCAGGCCAATTTAATTCTGATTTCTAAATGTTTCTCATACTTAGAAATTTATCAGGAAAATATTAATCTTTGTCAATTTGAAAACACTGTAATATTTTTTTTTATTTGCAAACAAAATAATTTACTTCTATCATGCAAAACTACCTCAGTATCAAATGCATGGCATTGGCCATATTTGTTAAATTATACACTCCAGGGTCTTACCATAAAGTTTACAGTCAAAATAAAATACCTTTCACTTATTGAACTGCAATTTTCCAACACTTGTAAGTGTAAAATATTGTGACAGTAAAGAAGTGAAGTGAGAAATGCGGTTGATTTCAGCTTGTTCTCCGCAACAAATGATGCCTTCATTGATATGTTCCTGTGGTGTAACATTGTTGATTAAACTGCAGATAGAAATCAGTTGTATCAAAATTTTCTGACCATCTTTATGGTAAGGAGACTGGATCTTTAGCTGCTAAATGCAGTGCTGTCCACGACTCGTGTGAGTCTGTACAAATGTTAGAGAAGACTTCTAATCTTCATTGATAATTTTACATTGGATCAAAAATGTTTTCAAATACAGGCTTAAAGTTTTCAAATTATTGATGAATCAATCATAGGAGAAAAAACAGTGCAGTGCTATGTCATCACAAATTCTTCACAGCAATAATTACATCAATATTTCACTTTCCCTTTTAACGGGATATGGACTCTTTGCCCAGAAGTTCTATAAATTTACTTCTCAGCATTGCATGATGATCACATATCTCAAACATTAGTTAAAGTACTTGGCAGGAAGGCTATGTAAATCACCTCCTTTTGTTTTTAGTGCATTTGCCACATGTTAAAGAAGCAGCAAGAAGATTAGTTGCTTGTGCTAAGAAATAATTAAGTAGATAAAACTAAACCACAAGAACACAAGTCCTGACAAATGTGGAAGTACAGCCCAGTGGAAAATAAAACAATTTACCTTGAACAGAAACTTACTTACATTATTTGCATACACTGAAATGTCTCTTTTCTAGAAATTTCTTCTAAAAAGAGAGCACTACAAATAGCCCTGTTGGTGCTGTTTGTACTGTTTGTGGAATAAGGAGCTACTCATCTTGGTTAAAAAATCTGAGTCTGGCCTAATGCCAGAATGGGCCAGATTCTGCCATCCTTACCAGAGCTGAGTAGTACCTTAAGCTGGGCCTGATTATGAACCAATTACTCACGTTGTGCTGAGCTGCTCTTTGCATGAATGGGGCCATTGTGAGTAAACATTTACAAGTGATTCACAATTTGGCCTATATGAGTACTCTCACTCACATCAATGCATCTACTCATGGAGTAAAGCACTGCTAAATAAAAGTGGCAGAATGTGACCCTGTTGTAATACTTGACATCTAACATGAAGATACTTTTTCATTAGCTAAATGAAATGCTGCAACCAACAGACTATCATTCATTCTTTGAGACGAGGCTGATGTAAGAGCATGACAAGCTTAATGCAGGCCTGCAACTTATCACACCTCAGGTTTAATGAAGGGTTGAATACCTGTTTGTGTAATGCATAAAGCTATGCTGGCACCGTGTAACAAAAAATTTCATTGCTAAAACTGAAGGTGAAAATTTAATTAGAA